CTAACCCTAACCCTAACCCTAACCCTAACCCTAACCCTAACCCTAACCCTAACCCTAACCCTAACCCTAACCCTAACCCTAACCCTAACCCTAAAGTAAAATGCTAATTATCTTTTAGGAGGGTTTTTAGGGAACGCCTACGCATCTCGTCGCACTAACCCTAGTTTACTAACTACTATTTTGCAGTAGAGCCTTAGCTATAGCTTATACATTCCCTAATCTGCCCTCTTAGAGTTAATACCCTGCCTAGAACCTTAAGTATTTAATTGGTGTTACCCTCTCGAATACTAAAAATCTGTTTAATAATATTCCTCCGCAGTACCGCCTTCCTTAGATAGGGTAGCTGTTTCTTAGGCTACCTCTCTAGAATTAAACCCTAATTCTCTATTACCTGTTAAAACTATAGTAAGCTAATACCTTACTATCGAAAGTTAATAGGGCAGAAATTTAAATAAACCGTCGCTAGCGCAAGGCTATGTAATCTGTAAAAATTATTATAAACCACCTAAAAGCCCCGAAGGGCATTAGGCTTTAATCTAATTAACGCATCCCTTCTAAAGTCAGGGTTTTCAGCATGTATTAGCTCTAGAATTACTATAGATATCTAAGCGGTAAGGTATTTTTAAATAAACAATAACTAATTTAATAAGCTATTCGCAGTTTTACAGTATAATTTGCCCGCACTAGGATTTGCATTACTGCATAACTCTAGGCGTGCACCGCCTAAATCCCCCCTAGAGAGGTTTTAACGCGGTATAAATTGCTTAATCTTAAAGACAAGCATACGAGTTCCCTAGTTATTTCCTCTAGTGTAGCGAGAAAGGCGTTTCCCCTAATGCAAGCATAACTAGAATTAATTCCTGAGGGGAGAGGTTACTTAGAAGCTTACGCACACGAAGCGCGGATAGCTAAATTTTACCTCCTCTTTTAAGATTGCGCCTTACTTCTAGGGAAGAAAGTAAGGACCTTTTTAGTTGTTTAGATAAGTAAGGACCACGTCTCCTAGACTAAGAACTATTACGAGGCTGCAAGACCTCGTGATACTAAATAGATTATCTGTTACGGATAGAGCGGGGATTACGTGTATAAATAAGCTTTTACTAGTCGCCTGTAAAATCTAAGACAGTCGCCGAGCCCTAGGTAACGCGCTAGCTAGAGTTAACGTTGCTGCAACTAATACCCCTAGAAACAAGGCTTAAAAGTATGATACTAATTTTAAATAATGTAGTTAAGACTACGTTAAAGGTTTAAGTAGTTGAAGACACTTAAGTCCCCTAGACTACTAACTAGACCTCTCTACTAAACACTAGAAGATAGAGAGTTAAACGTCTAGAGTTACCGCGACGTCGATCTAGCTAGGAGGGCATTACGCGCGCCTTTGGATTGCTTCCTTCCTGCAGCTTGACCACTGTCCCCCCTGAGAGGTCACGTTTTTTTAAGGCGGTGTCTGAATTCCCCTAGGTAGCCTAGTTGCCTAGGCACCTAACGTTTGTAGGCGCCCTAACGTATTAAGGCACCTAACTGCTGTTAGCGCCTATCCTTAAGGATAGGCGCCCGTCTACTATCCCTTAGTTAAGCTTGCTATTATAAAAACCCCTAGAACTATTAAAAGTTTTACTAGTTGAAGACACTTAAGTCCCCTAGACGGCTTGCTTTCTGCACCTTAATTACTGTCCCTTAAGAGGGTACGTTCTTACAGGAGGTAGCCTAGTTGCCTAGGCACCTAACTGCGCGCCTATCCTTAAGGATAGTTGCTCGCCTTCTACTACCTGTCTATTTTGTTATTATTATCCCCTAGAGTGAGAGCCTACCTATTAACTAACGCACTCTTAGCAAGCTGAGATTCGGGTGTCTTAACTGGCCGTCGGCTTCGGTCGATAATTGGGTGCCCTCTTATGTAGTGTAGGAACAGCGTTTAGCTTAAGATTCGCGTTGCGGGGTTTAGGTAGCAGAAAACAGCTTAGAGGTGCGGTTTCTTGTATAGGAAACTGTGTAGACATGCGCAGCCCTATACAAACTATAAAGCGATTCCGCAAAGTATAGAGTCTAGTAGTTCGCGCTAGGTATACTAGTTTCTAGCATGGACTGGCTCATACAAGCTGTATACCGATCGATATCGCAAAGTTTTGAGTCTAGTAGTTTGCGCAAGGTCTAATAGTTTGCGCAAGGTCTAGTAGTTTACAACGTTATATGTTAATATCTCTATAAGTAGAGCAGCTATTTACAAACTAAATACAGATTTGAAATTGTGGCGTAATTCTATATTAAATTGTGTGGCTAGAGCGCTGCAATAGTGGCTGTGCAGCGTGCAGTCACGTGAGGAACATCAAAACTCCACCTCTACACTTGAGCGCAGATATCTCAACAAGGAGAGCAGCTATCGACAAACCGAATGGAGATTTAAAATCCTGGCGTAAATCTGCACAAAATGGCGTCTTTCGATTTTCTCTAGCTAGCTCTCTAGTGTAGCTAGCTAACCGCGATCCTACTACCGCGATCCTACGCCTCGCTTCTTATCGCATTCTTATCGCTACTA